GGTATAAAAGCACTGTTAGGACATAGGCATGGAAGGCCCTGTCTAGATCATGATAGTTACGATGATACCGTTTACATAAGAATGGGGACATTTGGTGGTGTTCTTCAAGAGCACCCAGTGGCAGCTCACAACCATGTGCAACTCCACTGCCTGGGGATCTGACACCCTCTTCTGATTTCTGTAGGCAATGGGTGTGCATGGTGTGTCGACACACACTTGCGGGCGAAACACCCATACATATCCAAGAGGAGTAAATATTTTTAACTGGACATTTTCATAGCTCTGTCTCAATTACTTTACATCTTTTAAAATACAGTATTGTAATAAAAATAACTTTTTCTCCCAAATCCCTAAAATCTTCCTCATTGGGAAGATCATCAGAAACAAAACTGAGGGAAAAAAACTATCGGTCAGGTATGGGTGAAAGGAATTGCTCTTCACGAGAGCCATGAATTAAACAGAATCTGTGGATTTCCCAGTTCACTGCTTAAGTGGTCTGTCTTATGCACTGCTGAAATAATGTACACCATTTATCCAGAACACTCCATCTTTATTTTCCAGTTCCATGGTATTCAAGCCTCGAGGCAGAGGGTACACTGTTTATTCTATGCTATCATTTCCTAGACCTAACCTCAAGAAGAGACTAAGTCTCCTTAGCTGGCTTCTGTGACTGGTTTATCAAAACCCAGAGGATGAAGCCAGAGGATCATTGAAAGTTTGAGGTCAGTCTCGAACACACAGTGAGACCTGTCTCGAAATCCAAACCTGAAAAAAAAAAAAAAAAAAAAAAAAAAGAGAAGTTCCTTCTCCCATTGGGAGAATTGATGAGTTATGACACTCACGAATATTAGCTCTCTTGTAAATTCTGGGTTTTTTTTTATTTCTTTCTCACTTTCTTTTCGTTCTAAGGAAAATTTAACAATGCTTAGGTTAAGATTTTGCATTAGAAAAGATTAAATGTCAGACCTCGAAGCAGAGGATGTTGTAGCCAGCCCCAGTGATGTTAGGAACAATGGAGTTGTGATGAAAGGCTAGTAGGTTAATGAGTTGCTCTTTCTCTTTCTTATTCCCTGCCCCCTCACTTTATCTGAGGGTTGAGGAAGCAGGTCAAAGGGGAAATCAGAAAACATAGAAGACGTATCAGAATTTCTGTGCTCTTAAATATCACCTGAATCACCGCCCTTCAGAGCCATGTGCAACTGCTCAGGCCAATACTAAACTCCGGGGAGTCTTCAGACATCTCTAAGCTTGTACTTCCTCCGGTGCAATTTCTCGACTTTGACCTTGTTAAATGTGCCTTTTAAAATTTAATTGGGCATGATTCTTGTCCTCGGATTATCTTCCTGGACTCCATGGGAAAATAAAGCAAAGAACATCACAGGAAAAGTTATTTCCAAAATAAAGCTGCTCACCTCTCTAGGAGTACAGGCCAAACACTCAAAAGTTTGTCTTTTCTTAGAACCTGGAATAGACACATTTGTACGGCAGTGGGGGACTGGATAGCTTCAGATACTGCTGTCCCAACATGGTTTTAATGAGTTCTTTTACAGGAACTTTAAACAAATTTAAACAGTTTTGGAAAGACTCGATGCCAACAAATCATATAGCATGAATTATTAACACTTCAGACCATCAATTAGATACAAACCTAATTATGAACACCTTACCAGAGACTGACAAATTGTGGCGAGAGTTCTCTTTAGCCAGTTAATGTTTTCTCGTGATGTCTTATAGAACTCTGAATAGACTTTCTCTATGTTTTATTATATTCCCTGAAGTTTGATGTGTACATTGCTATTGCTTAAGTTTTACTTACCTCACCATGTGTACAAATACTAAGCCAAAACGTATAAGGTCTTCTCCCTGACCAGGAAGCCTTGTGATTCTCCCCATCTCTTTTTATTCCTGCATAGCTTAGATGTTCTCATGAGACCATAAGGTAACTGTTCCTCGTTATTATTTAACCAGGCCCCAGGCCCTTTTGGAAATAAAAATACTGCTATTATAATTAAGGAATCACACTTCGAGGACTCAAGACCTGGGGTAAAAGACTCAACGTCAACCAAGCCCAATTCCAGAATGGCTTGTGCTCTCCCAGGGGAGGAACATGGAAGAACTGGAGGGTGTGTGTTGGCAGCTAGGCGGGAAGCTGATTATCACTGGGATCAACTGATGATAGCTGAGCAATGATTGTGACAGGGGTTTCATAACTGATGCATAGCCTCTTTGCAAGAATCTCTGATCTAAAATTCCCCAGTTCCCCACATTTGTTAAACACATTAACCTTTCAAAGCAAAGTTGTGATACCACCCAGAGAAAGAAAAAAAAATATGTGCCTGAATATGCCTCTCTGTGTATTTTTGTGGGGGGTTGTATGGGAGGAGTACCCACAACAGACGGAAAGGGCATCTCTTGACCTGGTGTTAGATGCCAATGTGAGCCATCCAACATCAGTGTGGTGGCAACTGAACTTGGGTCCTCTGAAAAAGAAACAAGCACTCTTAACCATTGAGTTGTCTCTATAGTCCCCAAAGAAGGAAGTTTTTGCTTTTACCTTCAAAATGCAAAATTTAAAAGAAGATGTACATGAGATA